CTGTGTTACGTGCAATCCCAGCTCCGTCCCGGCCTGCTGTGCACACCTACTTGCACATCCAGGACACGCTAACTAACACACCTGCACCTGCCGTAACCGTAAATAGTTACTTAGACGGGTTCTGTGACCCTTTCTCTTCTGTGTCTATTTGTATGGGGCCTAAACTCCCAGGTGGCGCTGAATTCGCGAAACCAGAGAAAAGATACTTGGATTTAAGGCTCCTACGGTGGACGCCTGCCGCCGTCTGAACCAAAACACCCCCCGGTCTCATTCGGGTTTTTATTTATCTGGTCAGTACCGTGAGCCAGGGGACCCTGTGGTGGCCAAGGTGAACTGATCGACAGTATAGATTTGGCCAAGGAGCCTTTGCAACAAGTCAGTAAATGCGCCCGTCCATTCATTCGTTCGCTCGTGCAGCGCTACGCCGTCTGGGTCCCTTGAATTCCCTTCTGTTTTTCACAGAAATAACGTCCTTGTGATTCGGGTAGCAGTGGCCCCTAGGCGCCTGCTTACCCGGAGGTAACCGGAGGTAACTAAGAACTCACTGGAGTCGGGATGTTGAAAACACATTCCCGGCACGGCGTCTCGTTTCTTCTAAAGCGAGGCGTTAGAAATGACTCCCGCCGGCGGCACCTAGGTCAGCATTGAATCAGAAAAATCTGGAAATACCCAGAGAGCTATGGGATGCCCAGAAGCCAAAAAAAAGTATTTTTAAGCCCGGCCGGGCATGGCTCAGCGGTTGAGCGTCGACCTAGGATCCAGGCGATCGGGGTTCGATTCCCGGTCAGGGCACAGGCCCGGGTTGTGGGCTCGATCAATGACTCTCATCATTGATGTTTCTCTCTCTCTCTCTCTCTCCCTCTTCTTTCCTCTCTCTGAAATCAATAAAGATTTTTTTTTAAGTATTTTTTTAAAAATTATATATATTATATATAATATAGTTTTATATATGCATATATATATATATTTACATATATATATATAGTTTACTGATTTTTAGAGAGAGAAAGGGAGAGGGGGAGAGAGAAACATCGATGTGAGAATGTAGCATCGATCCGCTGGCTCCTGCACGCCCCCTACTGGGGACCGAGCCCACAGCCTGGGCATGTGCCCTGACCCCTCAGCGCATGGATGCCACCCAGCCAGCTGAGCCACACCAGCCAGGGCAAAGGAAACACGCTTCTCATCTTAAAAATCTTTTTTTTTTTTTATAGCAGAATCGTTATTTCTAGAAGAGATGGAGGTAAGGGGGATGACCAGTTCAATCTGGGGACGGGAGAAACGAAACGTTTCCAAGTATAAAGTCTCACTCACCTTTGTTGCGGCGAGTCACTGGTGTCGGTACCCGAGGTTGTGCTTTTCTGATTATGTAACGCGGGGTAATAAAAACGAGAAAAGGAATTGCTTACACATGGGGCTCTTTGTGTTTGTCCTGGGAGGTCCTGGAATTCTGGGCTGTGTCCTGCTTGGTGATTAATTGCTGTCCTCACAGCCAGTTCTCAGTGTTTGCTTATATCTGCTTTTTTTAACTTGGCTTTTCTACTGTGGTGAAATATGCATAACGTTTTAAGCAGTGTTAGGCTTACAGCTCTGTGGTGTTGATTTTGCTGTTGTGCGGCATCATCTCCAGAACTTTTTCACTTCCCCAACTGTGTCTCTGCTTTAAAATAAATGGATTTAAACAAAAATAAAATTTTAAAAAATTAAAATAATAAAATTAAATTAAATTAAAATAATAAAATAAAATAAAATAAAATAAAATAAAATAAAATAAAATAAAATAAAATAAAATAAAATAAAATGAGTTAGCCCTGGCTGGCGTGGCCCAGTGGTTAGAGCATTGGCCCCCTCACCGGAGGGTCACAGGTTCGATTTCTGGTCAAGGGCACGTACCTGAGTTGCAGGTTAGATCCCCGGCCTCAGTCGGGGTGCGTACAGGAGGCGACCAATTGATGTGTGTCTCTCTTCCACTCGCTCTTAAAAAAATAATAATAATAATAAATGCAGTTGTCATGCTCAGGATAGAAGGGTGCACTGGAACCCCCTGACTCTGGCCAGGCTTCAGGGCGCAGGGTGGACAGGAGTTTGGCTCTTGGGTCACTAGGGCATGACCTTGAAGCCAGTTTGGAATGAAGCTGGCGGGTAGATGAGTGGGAGGCTCAATAAATATATTTCATAAGCGGGGGTATTATTAGATCGCCAGTAAGTTAGAAACAGTCTGTAAGAGTTTTCTCATCCAAAGGCGTGCTCCAGCTGGGAAGTCCTTATTAAATTTAATAACTCGCCCGGCCAGGCGTGGCTCAGCGGTTGAGCGTCGACCTAGGATCCAGGCGATCGGGGTTCGATTCCCGGTCAGGGCACGTGCCCGGTTGCGGGCTCGATCAATGACTCTCTCATCATTGGTGTTTCTGTCTCTCTCTCTCCCTCTCCTTTCCTCTCTCTGAGATCAATAAAGATATATTTTAAAAAAATAAAAATAAATTTAAAAACTCAAAGGTGGACTCTGTAGCCCTGGCCGGGCCTCTCCTTGGTTAGAGCGTGGTCCCGCTATGCAAAGGTTTCAGGTTCGATCCCCGGGCAGGGCACAGTGATGCATTAGTAAGTGGAGCAACAAATCAACGTTTCTCTCTTTCCCTCCCTCCCTCTCTCTCTCTTTTTCTGAAAAAAAGGCGGTCTCTGTATTAGTCTGCTTGGGCTGCCCTAACAAACACCCCAGACCGGGTGGCGTAAACAACGGAGGTTTATTTTCTCAGGGTGCCAAGGCCCCGGTGTCGGCAGGGTGACTTCGCCCCTTGGCTCGCGGACGGCTGTCTCCTTCCTTTCTCTCCTCGCGATCGCCGCTCTGTGGCTGTGTCCAGATTTCCTTTTCTTAGAAGGACACCAGCGAGACTGTACCCGGCCTCACCCAAATGACCTCATTGTCACTTAATCATCTCTTTCAAGGCTATTCGTGCAGCCCTGGCCGGGGCGCTCAGATGGCCCCGATACACAAGGTTGCAGGTTCGATCCCCAGTCAGGGCAGATTACAAGAGTTAACCAGTGATACATCAATAAGTGGAGCAGCAAATCGATATTTCTCTCTCTCTCTTTCCCTTCTTTATCTAAAATCAATATGTAAAAAAATTTAAAAAGACTATATATTTAAATATGGTCACAGTCTGAGGTATTGGGGTTAGGGTCTCAACATACGAACTCTGGGGGGGCAGGTAGGGGGAACACAGCTCAACCCACACAGTCTCTAAAGACGCCTCCAGTTCTAAGAATCCTCAAAAGCCTCGCGGTTCCGGCGGAAGCAGACGTAGCCGGGCGCCCCGGGCTTGCCCCCCTGTCCCCAAGGCACGTGGTCATGGGTAGAACATTGCCAGTCGGCTCCCAAGCCCCAGGGACAGAATGTCCTTCTATTTCGGAGCCGCATACGCCACATTTTTCTTAGAATAATAAACAGACACAGATGCGTCCAGCTCCCCTCCTTGTCTGCCCAGAGCAGTCTGGCGTGTCCTGGAACCCACTGCCTTCCCGGCCATCCGGACGCCGTATCTGCAGGCGTCTGCCCTGCGCAAGCGGCCACTCCCTTTAGGCCGCGTCTGTGCCAGGGGCTAGGCGTGGCCTGGGGTGGCGTCAGCAATCGGTGCCACTCCTGCGCCTTTTAATCACTTGCACTTTTTAAAAATATATATGTTTTTTATTGATTTCAGAAAGAAAGAGCTACATCAGTGGTGAGAGTCATTGGTCGGCCGCCTCCTGCAGGCCCCCTGCTGGGGATCCAGCCCACAACCCGGGCCTGTGCCCTGAGCGGGAATCGAACCCTGACATCCAGGTTCATGGGCCAACGCTTAACCACTGAGCCACGGCAGCCGGGCACTTGTACTACTTTTGTGATGACGTGAAAGCCAGTTCCATTTTTTTAGCATAGAGAAAAGAATTGACAAGCAGGATCAAGAAGAGCTGATTTTAAAAATCCATTCAGTCCCTGGCCAGGGTGGCTCAGTCCGTGGGGCATCTTCCCAAGCACTGAAAGGTTGCTGGGGGGTTTTTTTGTTTGTTTTTTTAATATATCTTTATTGATTTCGGAGAGAGGGAGAGAGAGAGAGAAACATCAATGATGAGAGTCACTGATTGGCTGCCTCCTGCACGCCCCCTGCTGGGGATCGAGGAGCCTGCACCCCAGGCCTGTGCCCTGACCGGGAATCGAACCCAGATCTCCTGGATCTTATGTTGATGCTCAACCTCTGAGCCTCGCCTGGCCGCGCAAGGTCGCCAATTTGATTCCCGGTCAGGGCACACGCCTGGATTGCGGGCTGATCCCCAGTCGGGTGCGTGCAGGAAGCAGCCGATCAAAGTTTCTCTCTCCCTTCCTCTCTCTCTTAAAAAAAAAAAAGAAAGAAAAATATCAATAAAAGTCTTTTTAAAAAATCCACTCTTTGTACTCAGTCCTTTATACTGAAGGTTTATCCCTGTATTTCCCTCCTGTCTCCGCCCCCCCGTCCCTCTCTCCACCCCCACCCCATCACATGTCATATCTCTCAAGGGCAAAATTCGAAATGAAAGACTTTGTGTTGAGCTTTTTTTTTTTAATTGAGCAGAATAATGCAGAAATTGTTGGCTTGGACGTTGGTGATTTAAACGTTTTTCATCTAATATCCATGACGAATTTTTAGCGCACGTTGAAGAGAGATCTTCGGATGAGTTTCTTTTTTCCAGACGGAATTTTCTCGCGGTCCCCCTTTCCACCGCGAGGGGCTTCCTTTGCTGTATCTCAGAGTCTCTTCCTTGGTATTAGAGCTACAGGCTTTGGCCCACTCACTCCCCAGTGCCGTTGTACAGTGATTAGTGATTATTGGTAATAAAAATGGAGACACGTGTGCTGGCACCTGCAGAGGTCCCCAGGCCGACTCTGACACGGGACCCCCTGCCGTGGGTGCGAGGCAGGCAGGTGAGGGCCTTTGGGACGGAGCAGCCTGAGCCCGGGGCCCTCTAACGTAGCCACGCTGCTATTCCAGGTCTCCGAATTCAATCCTTTGACGTTCACCAGCGTAATCGAGTGTGAGAAGCCAAACAACGACCTGAGCAGGTTCCGTGGGTGCATGTGAGTATTGTCCCTCTGTCTGCATTTGTCCCTCTGTTTGCATTTGTCCCTCTGTCTGCATTTGTCTCTCTGTCTGACAGTCTGTATATATGTATAGTCAACCCTTGAGCAGCACTGGGTTAGGGCGCTGAGCGTCACGCAGTCGAAAATTCTCCTATACCTTTTGACTCTCCCAAAACTTAACCGGTAATAAGCCAACTGTTGACTGGAAGCCATGCCGATAACATGAACAGTTGGTTAACACATATTTTATACGTTATATGCATTACATACTGTATTCTTACAAACGGTAAGCTAGAGAAATGTTATTAAGCCCGGCCAGGCCTGGCTCAGTGGTTGAGAGCATCTACCTAGGATCCAGGCGATCAGGGTTCGATTCCCGGTCAGGGCACATGCCTGGGTTGCGGGCTGCAGCCGATCAATGACTCTCTCATCATTGATGTTTCTATCTCCCTGTCTCCCTCTCCCTTCCTTTCTCTGAAATCAATAAAGATATATTTTTTTTAAAAAGAGAGAAATATTATTGAGAAAATTCTAGCCCTGGCCAGTGTGGCTCAGTGGGTAGAGCGCCGGCCCGTTCCCGAAGGGTCCTGGGTTCAATTCCAGATCAAGGCCATGTACCTCAGTTGCAGGCTCGATCTCCAGCCCGGTCGGGGTGCATGCAGGAGGCAACTAATGGATGTGTCTCTCTCACATCTTTGTTTCTTTCTCTAAAAAAAATCAGTGAAAAAATGTCCTCAGGTGAGGATTACCCCAAAAAAATAAGTATGCTAAAGGGTTCAGATGAACATCCGGGTGGAGAGATGTGTAGGGCAAGGGGTGTGGGAAGGGGCAGGGGGAGCTTTACGCCCTCCGAGCCCCCCACTCTCCGGCTCCCCCATGTGTTTGGTGGAGGTCATTCTGGTGACCAGCCCTCATCCAGGAGCCCGCCCAGAGTCACCTAATGATTAGGACAAAAGACACTTTTATCACCCAGGAAATCCCAAAGCATGTTGTATTCTCTCTCAGGAAGAACCAGAGTCAGAGGCCAAATGTTAGGAAAAAAAGGTGGTCCCAGTGCTTTTACCACTCGGGAAATTACAGGGTTTCGGGAGCTCTGTGCTGGGAGCTGGATCAAAGACGAAATATGAGAACAGAAGACCTCCCAGCACCCTGTTTACAAGCCTCTCATGAGCCCTGTGTCAGGAACCGGGGCGGAGACCAACACACATATTTCTTTTTTTTCTTTTTTTAAATATATCTTTATTGATTTCAGAGAGAGGAAAGGAGAGGGAGGGAGAGAGAGAGAAACGTCAGTGATGAGAGAGCCATTGATCGGCTGCAGCCCACAACCTGGGCATGTGCCCTGACCGGGAATCGAACCCCGATCGCCTGGATCCTAGGTCAACGCTCAATTGCTGAGCCCCGCCTGGCCGGGCCACACATATTTCTTAAAATTTCCTTAAGCCCATTGGCCGAGTAGATGTCAGGCTCTGGAGAGGCTTCTAGAAGCCCAGTGACCAGTGAGCACAAGCTCCATCCCAGCTCTTGTAGGTCCACTGAGGCCAGCTGCCCCCTGGGGTCCCCGTTCCCCCTCCCGGCCCGGCGTCCATGCCTCCCTCCCCACGGCAGCGATCCTTGGATGTGAGGCCCATGTAGGCGTGGAGTGACGCGTGACACATGTCCCTCCACAGCACACACGACAACGGGAAGAAGGCTGGGCTGCACAAGGAGAACCTGCTGCTGCGAGGCTGCACCGTCAGGAACACGGAGGCCGTCGTCGGCATCGTCATCTACGCAGGTGGGCAGACGTGTTGCGTCCAGTCCTGGGTGGTCTCGAGCATCGCTCCTTGTTTCTGTGCTTTTTTTTTTTCCCACTATGAAAGTAGCACGTACCCATTGTAGAAAACTTGGAAAATGAAGAAAAGAGAAAGAAGCATAACATCTAATCACATCTTGACCAAAAGTGTCCCCTCTTAGCATGTTAGCCTGTTAGATTCCGTGTATCTCCATGGTTGTCGCCTAGTTCAGGTTATTTTTATACCCTGCTCTTTTGACTCAGCCTGTCCTATCTGTATCATTGGACGGCAGCATCGTACTTTGATCCCCCGAGTCGGCACCATGTGTCCCCTCCCGGCTTGGGCACTGACTGCCCGCACCCCTCACCCCCCCCC